CACACACACACACACACACACACACACACACACACACACACACAGACACACACACACACACAGGCGTCTGCTATGTGCCATCATCGCTCAAGTCATAAATCGTGAGACATCGCTAGTGATACGACTCCTCGGAATGCATTGCCCCGGCAACACAGGAATCCACGACTGGAAGGTTTGCCCAGCCATACCGTCAACAAACCCCGCTCCGGATTGCAATGGCGCCCACCACCAATCAGTCACAAACTCCCTACAAGGAACCACTCGATGAGCGTGCTGATACAAAAACGATCGCACGGTAGATTAAAGAGTAGCCTCGGGGCACAGATAACGGCTTCATGAAGAACTGAGACCTCCATACAAGTTATTGAACAGAAGAATGTCAACCCAACCCACAGCCGCAGCGCTGAAGTGATCCCGTAGACCCGTTTTGAAAGATCCTTGTGTCAAAAACGTGAAGAACCATGGACAGGATTGTCTTAACAAATCTCCTTGAAGAACCATGAACAGGATTGTCTTAACAAATCTCCTTCTCAATTGACGCAGCACAATTCTCCGGAGGGGAAATCCAACCCGACAGAAAGGCAACGGTTCAGAACGATAGCGGAAATCAGGCTCACTAAGATGTCCGGCGTATACTGTCGCTTTGTTGCAGAGTGTGACCGACGGCAGTAATCACACAGCAGCTACCGCATTCCCACCAGCAAAGACGACCGCCAGAAGAACCATTACTTACAGGCTAGGGCACACCGGCTCTCTGACGCACGATTTAGAGAAGCAGCTTTGCGGCCGAACGGCTCCATCCGTGCGAAGGGTCAACGGACCAGGTCTTCCCGCACAAGGAGGAATATTAATGTGCATGAAGGCCAGCGCCCGCTGAGCTCATGTATCTCCTCTTTCCAAGAAAGACTACGAATGATTGCGTACCATGGAGAGTCAACCATTGGCCTCTAGCAAGAAGGCCAGCGCCCGCAAAAGCAAAACGTAAACTCCAGCAAGAAAAAATATGGGCTGCGTACCTCTGGCCATACCTTCGCCCATTTCCCTCCCTCCTTCAAAACAGCATTCCCATTTTCTGTCACCAACAGTCAACCAGCAGCAGCAGGAAACAGCAGATCTGTAAACGGTACCGTCACCATTCAATCACTTCCACTCCATTTTGCTGCCTGCACTGCTTGCTTGTCTGCTTATCGAGAAACCCAGAAATATACATAATCACCAACTAGCCAAACAAAACAACTAAGGCCTAACGTACCTGCACGTGCGGGGGCATAATTCACTGTACAACGGATCGACATAACTCCCCACTGCTCCCAAGGCGAGGAAGTGAGGCAGGCAAAAGAGGCATCTACAAACAGAAGCCTTGTCATATTCTGGACATATCGTGCAGGTGCAGCAAGCGAGCGACTTGACGAGATCTATCCTAGGACGGAACGGAACGAAATCAGGGCACGTACATTTGAAGCTTGCTAAGGAAACCCATTTCAGGACCATCGACACTGATTCCATGATGAGATGAGGAGGTCAAGACGGCCCCCTCTTCCATCAGACCAGATTGTCCCATTGTCCCCTGATAAACGAAACCTCCTCCTTCAGTGACCGTGATCATAACAGTAAGCACAGGTACGGAAGTACAGCGCACGTCGTAGCTGAGCAGAGCACCATGCTCTCCACACACGTCGCCACACAAGTGGAGTACTACGACGTCATAGCACGCGTCCTTGTCGACTCGAGAACCAGGAGCTCCACGGCCATCTGCCTAGCTTTTCGGCAACTTCCTCGGAAGCCAGGAAAGTTGCATTCCCCATGCAAAGCGCGTGCGCGTACAAGGATCGCTGTACCGACTGTTCTTACTCAACTCGACCGATCATTCGATCTCGTCAAATTCAAACCCACGTTGCCAACGGCGGCTCATCCTGACATTCGCCCCCAAATTAGCTGCAATATCCTCTACTACTCTTTCTGGCAGTGGCTATGATTATACCATCCCACCACCAGTAATGAGATGCACGCACACCATCCTGCCGAGCCTCGGCAGACGAATCGGCCAGAGCTCAGTCTCTTCACTGCGCTGTATACGTCAACCACTTGACTGGACAAACCCATCGCCCGAAAAACTGTCAACTATCATCGATAAATGACAAACAGTCCCGACCAAGACGCGAGTTGGAAGTTCCGTGAATGCATGACGTACGAGGACTCGCATCGCGAGACAAACTGTATAAACCAATTGACAAGGGCACAAGAAAAGCAGGGGCAAGCAGAAGAGACACGAGAAGTGCATGGACTAGTAATGCGCCCAGCATTTCCGCAAAATCCGTTCACCAATTTTTTCAAAGCACCTCCTTTACACCCATTGAGCCTCCCTTCGTCTATACACTCTCCTGTGCAACTACTGTGCACAGATCCTCCTTGTGGAAGAGGACACGATGCGATGATGCCATCCTTAGAGGTCGAGGAAAACTGGGCAAATGGTAAAACACGCTCGCTTGTTGAGGCCTAGGCGTACACGGGAACAAAGACGCGGCCACTTGTCGTAACGTTGCAGCTGGGAAGGAAACCGAATGATGTTGTACAAGCCGCTGAGGTCGAGGAGCTTGAGGCACTTGTGGTAGACAACCGTGTTGTCCGCTGCCACAGGAACAAAGGACGCGTTTTCGGGATCAGAACAAGGCTTTGCTACTTCCAGCAAATCGAAAAAAGATCCAATAATATATGCACTCATCAATTCAACCATGACAAAGCGCACCAAGTCCCCTAGGGTCGTACTCAATGACCATGAAACATCAAACATTAAAATTGATAGTCCCTAGGGTCGTACTCAATGACCACGAAACATCAAAACATTAAAATCGATAGTTACTGGCATGAACGAGCATTCACTTTATGCCCTTGTTCATTTGGCGTTTCAACTGAGAACTGTACATGCGAAGACGCAATGTATATCTGTCGATGCTTGTACGAGAAGCAGCCTATGGCCACTGTTCGTCACTGTGCCTGTAAGCTGAGTCAACCAGTGGCAGGTTTTGGAGATTGCCATGCATAGTCTTTCTTACCTCCGGAATGGCCACCGTTGAGACGGATTCGGCGTAGTAAAACTGAGGATTTCTTGACGATCACGATCAGGTGTCGTGTAGTTGAAGTGGATTTGGACGGCGGCTATCGTCTGCACACAAAGGGATCCAGCAAACGCCAATCAGTTTCCAACAAACAGCAACTTTCACGAGCCACATATTAGTTTTCTGGAACAAAAGGTACTAGAACTACCTCACACACAGTTAGACACGCTGGAACATGTGCAAGCTCACAGCAGTGAAATGCTGGTCCTCTGGAATCCAAGCTGCCAAGGATAAGTCATACCACGTAGCGGCATAGCAAACCCATTGTCACACGCGCAGTGCTCCAATGCCCTAGAGGCATAAATGCGTGCACTGTGCTTTCGAATCGGACCGGAGTCATCATCAAATGCAGAGAACCCAAACTGTCCGCTAAGTTTAAGGTCGTCCTGATGGATGGACTCAACCGTTGCTGTCTATTGAATGGTCCGTCCGTCCACATCCAAAACGGAAACCGTTTCAAGCAGCGCAAACAAACCCCCGTTAACTAAAGCAGCAAACGACAGCGGAAATTATTATCAAATGCAAAGAACCCCCCCCAGCTGCCCGCCGCCAAGTTCAAGGTCGTCCTGAAGGATCGACTCAACATCTTCTGTTCCTTTGCTACTATCTATTGAGCGATCCGTCCACATCCAACACGTGCTACTATCTATTGAACGATCCGTCCACATCCAACACGGAAACCATTTCGATCAGCGCAAACAAACACCCCATGATTAAAGCAGCAAACAACAGCGGAAGTTATTCTCAAATGAAGAGAACGCAAACTGCCCGCCGCCCCCAAGTTCAAGGTCGACCTGAAGGATCGAATCGACGTCTTTTGTTCCATTACTGTTTATTGGATGATCCGTCCCCCAAAACGGAAACCATTTCCAGCGGCGCAAATAAAACAACCGATGACTAAAGCAGCGAACTACAGCGGCAACAACAGCAAACAGACGGTGGCTTTGCGGGAGTGCGGTGTCACAATGAAATCCCAAAAGTGAGGAGACTGGATAGAAGACAACCGTTGGGAGCCAATGTTGAAAGTGGGTAAGGGGGAATAGCAATGACTGGGGAACTGCAGAGGTTAGCACAAGAGGAATACTCACCGCCTCACGTAAACGTTTGCAAACAAAAAAAGCTGGCTTCAACTCGTCGTGATGAAGGTAACAAAGGATCCGAACCTGAGCAACATAACATCCGTGCAACATAACATCCGTGCATTGTTCAGTAAGCACCGACAAGTGGGTAGGAACGTTAAGGTCACCAAGGATGCCAGCGTGCGCCAACATCGACGCATGAACAACTTCCATGATGAACATGTCCCTGCCATTACAATCGTGGCAATCCATCAGAGACAGTAGTCATTCTCGCAATAGCCGCATTTACACGACGCACTCAAATTGGTCGAATACGTCGCAACAAACATGGAATCACCTCTCTCATATCCACACATATGGCGGCATATTTATCCACATATACTTTTACATATATACATGCGTACATGTAAAGCGTCACATCAAACGTTTGCTTATCCATTCACAACTCTCGTAAACACAGACGAACACACCACCGCCCGCACATTTACAATGCCGATCTGCACAAACAAACTTAAGACTCATTTCGCCAGTTATCGCACACTTTACCATGCGAGCATGCGTTAAAGAAGGTAATCAGGGAAGTTCTGATCGTCCAAGAGGACCCTCCCTCCATCCGCAGAGGGACCGTAAGAACACATCGCTTCGCTCCATCAGCAGTGGGTCCCTAAGAACGAAGCCCTTGAGGCAGTCGTATTAACAAATATGGAAATCCACAAAAAATAGGGCAATAGTATTTAGAACCCGACAGAATCACCGTCCACTCAGCCGAAAAGCACGGAAACGGATGCATTTTCGGGCGAGCACACAGAAAAATCGAGGCATCCAACAACGCGGCAACAGAAAGGAATCGGGAAGACGAGGATATTGCATCAGCGCTGGATTGGGTGTCCAGAAAATAAGCAAGCGAAACGGACACTCAGAAACGGAAAAAAGGGTAGGCATAAATAAGAGAGAGGAGAACTAACAACTGACGAAAGGAAAGCCACCGATGCAAAACCGTAGCTTACGAAGGACCGAAAATGGGGAGCGACCAAGTATGTATGTAGGGTATGTAAAGATGACAACTTCACACAACACAAAGCAAGTCCTAGTTCAAGTCGCATAAGCGACAAAACACGTCAAAAGTCGTTCAGGAAAAGAGACCAAGCCATTTAAGACATTCAGGAGAAGAACGGCGAGGGACGGAAAATACTAACAAAAAGTGTCAGGATAAGACAGAAAAGACGGCACGACGGAGAATATGTGAGGCCATGGAGGATGGATGAATGGAAACGAACGAGGTAACACGAGGAGGAAAAAAGCCGCCTTAGAAAACCGAAAGCATCACATCATCACAAATAAGCCAGGAAAAGGCAACCAAAACTGCAACGAAAGGAATGCTTGAGGTAAAAGTGACTGTCCGCGTGTATGGCACTACATGCGCAGATAACGCAGCAGAACCAAAAAACGGATAAGAGGAGGTGGGCGTAAGAATCCAGGAGAGGAACGAGTCAACGAGAAGAGAAAAACATACAAGGATCCAGATAGACGACGAAATAAGCAGAAGGAAAAGACACAGGACAGGAGATCGGACACATGTAAGGAGGGCTAATGCCAAATAGACTTCCGGGCCAGCGAAAAGACGGTGAAGATCATCATCAAGCCAGACAAAAAGTAGCCGAAAGACAAAAGCAAAACGACGAGAGCCACAACCAGACGTGGAAATAAAGATGGACGGGACACACACTTAAACACGCGAACTACATGGCGGTGCTAACATCCCGAAGAGTGACAAGATAATATTTTACGGGCGAGGAGCAAAGCTAAGTCCAACCATGATTGATACCCAAGAGGTTGTGGTCAACAGCAGGAAGCTGAAAGGGGAGGGAGCGAAAACTACCAGAAAGGAGTGCCAGTGCATCGAAAACAGCAAGGAATTAATGCACGCCGGAGTGGGGCGAAATTACCAACCAGAAGCTCGGTGGGGAGAGATTCTAACGACGAAGATTCTGCAGGTTCTGGCGTCGAGTCCCTGTAAACTGTAAAAGCTTGAGGCGTCCGGGGAGTTCGTGGAGCAACCATTTTTTTCCTTTGAATGAACATGGTGGCAAGATCGCGAGGAGGAGGAACATCCGGCGATGGGGTGAGAGAAAGGGAGCGGTTGACAGAGAGTTCCTTTCCTCCCGCACCTAAACCCGCTCCCCGCTCTCTTCCTCGTCCTTCGTCGCCGCCGCTGCCGCCTCTATCGCCTCGGATATCCACAACTGTACCCGCAGCTTTTGAATAGAGCGACGATGTGGTCTCTCCCAGGACACGTTTCCTGCTCACATTACTCATACATGACGTACGCGAGTTCTTATGCGCATCCGCGTACTGCGCCAAAAGTCCGGGCCTGAGATATGATCTAGAAGCCGCCGCCGTAGTGGAGCAACCAGAAGTTGCCAGCGCGGCATGAGTCCTCCCACCTGCTCCGCCACCTCCACTAAAGGATCCCCGCGGCGCCGATATTGATCCCGACGCCGCATCCGACCTGCATCTCAATGAACGTCTGCTCGGAACCGGAACATGGGCCCCATCACCTACGATACAATCGCCGTTCGCACTAGACGCAACGGGCTCTTGCAGCCGATCAAGACGAGAATACGCCATGCCCTCGGGATCTAAATTACCACCTCTCAGTCTAAGGACCCCTTCGCTACCAAGGGAGGTAGATCGTTCCGACTTGCCCCCTGACTCCCCCAAATACATAACTTCTTAGAGAGCCTCAGCAGCACTCACTGAACGCTTTTCACACCGTCCCACAATTTCCTCCTGTCCGCACTTATCTCACATTCGACTTCTGCGCGATACGTTTCTCTCAATCTAACCTTGTAGATCAATATGTTCCCTCCCTGACTCATCTATCTGGCAGTCCAAAGATCTCGACCTATAGGCAGTCCAAAGATCTCGACCTATCTATCGGCAAGCCTAGCTCCCTCCCTATCCAATAATTCACATCCCATGACAGCTACAAAATCGACACTCCCGATTAGCGTCAAAGCCTACCGAGAAAACACAGCAGAGACCTTGCTTATCGGATTACACGACCCGGTAAAATCCTGCGGGAGAGATTCCCTGACTGAGTTCGCTTGATAGGCAAAACATAGGAGAAAAGCCTCTTCTTTCGCTCCACTTCAACTCTCACTCCTCCCGGAACGCAGTTTACGACCCATCGGTAGGTTCCAATTCCGCCCGAAGCTAAGGCGTGTTGGAGATTGACCTTCCAACTGGCTGTCATTCTCTATCCTGAATATTGACCCCGTCTTTCGAGATCAGTCCCACCCTCTCCCACCTTGCTTTCACATACCCTTTCCCTCGTCAACCCCTTGCTGCTGAAGCTGATCTCGTGCCAACCGCTGCAGAGATCAGACACGACTTGAGGAAACATAGGCCATCACCCTTGAGGACACGCGATCGCGCTGACACGCTTAAGCAACTTGGAAACTTCGTTTTATGGACCCGCTAACAAAGGTGGGTTTCGTTCGATGCTCACGACGTTCTGTTTAACTCTGCTTCGAACTCCGCGCGCGTTCAGTTTGGCCTGACTTCATTACGAACGGGGCGGAGAAGGTTCCATTCCATGACCTAATTGCTAACGGTGTGAGCGTCGTGGAAAAGCTCTCTCGCCGGGCTAAAGGCAATCCGTAGTCAAATATCCATCTGATAAAAATGGACGAAAGTAGGAAGGAACAGGATAACAACGTCGCGCATCGCCAGCCATCCAGCACAAGGTGACGACAAAGTGAAGACAGAAGGGAGTTTGCCGAATCTTTCGGCGCATAACTCTGGGAAGCGCCCGTCCTGTTACGTTTTCCGCTAACAAAGCCGCTTTTATGAGGACCGAAAGCTACGACCGCCGAACCTCTCGATCTGGAAGTACAACGGAGAGTTTTCGTATGCAGAAGTGGGCACCAACTCCCACCCGCTTATGGCCCGTGATTTCAGCGCGTCACTGAACTCACCCCAAAAACTAGAAGATTTATAGTAGGCAAAACTCAATCCCCCAATGGACAGAAGTCACCCATAAATCTCTCTCTCTCTCTCTCTCTCTCTCTCTCTCTCTCTCTCTCTCTCTCTCTCTCTCTCTCTCTCTCTCTCTCTCTCTCTCTCTCTCTC